TTTCTTTTCCTTCCCCCAGCTTTTATTCTCGCTCCCTGCAGCTTGTGTGGCGATGGCCAGAGCAGGCGGCGAAAGCCGGGGTGATGTGTCCTACACAGCCATGAATTCACTCAGGGCTGGCCAGCTGACACAATTTCCTCACACAGCTCAAAGGCTCTGCTCTGAGCATCCGGGGCAGACACAGGATGCTGGTGGGTGTGAGAAAGGGCTTGGCAGATGACTAGCCCAAAGCCCTGACCCGATGGGTAAGTGTGTGTCAGCCTCCAGCATTAATGCCAGGCTTAGGGCAGGCTCCCTTTTGGCTCTGATTTTCCGTGTTTACTGTAGTTACAGGACAACATTTACAAAGAGAGGGTTACACAAGTGATTTTAAAGAGGCAGGGTGAGAACACAGCCTATTGTTAAGGCAGCACTTTTCACCACCAGACCCAGCTCTGATTTGTTTCCAACACTTCAGCCACTTGCTCTGAAATTGTCCAAGCTGTTGACGAAATTCCCATGCTATTCTGCAGGCCCTTTGGAAAAAAGGGATTTGCAACCCCCATCCCTTGTACCATGTATGTACATGTGTACACCCATGCAGATGGAGAAAATGAACTTCAGTGCATACAGACAACCTGAATTTGTCAGGTCCTCAGGGTGAGCAGTTTGCTAAAATAGTTGATTCCTAAGAAAATTAATTGGAACCTGAAGAACTATAGCAATCCCTTGTCTTGGGTCACCAGCAAGGTTCAGTAGTTTGGAACTGCACCAGACTCTGCTCCTCAGCACCAGCAACAGGAGGTGGGTGCCACTGTACACCTTGACCAGAATTTTATCCATTTATCCGATGACTCCAAGGAAGAGAAATATGAGACATTACAAATGGGGGAAGGAAAAATCTCTGCATTCTTCACACCTACTGTCCATCCCAACACTCATCTCAGTGCCATGTGCGTCTCTACTCTCTCCCATAGGCTCTTTTCCATCCCCTTCTTCCCATCCTCATCTCCTGCAGTCCTGCTGCCCCAGTCCCCTTCCTGTGCTCACCCTGCCAGACTCTGGCCAAGCAGCTCCTTGCTCTCCTCCCTGTTCAGCAAAGCACAAACATGGGGGCTACAAACCAAAACCAACGGGCAACAACAGACCTGAGGCTTGGTCCTGGCAGCATCATCTCTCTTATCTCTTACAACTCCCAGGGAAGGAGGTTTCCTGGCCTCCCTAGGTGGTCTTGCAACAGTTTTATGATGGTAACAGGATGTTTTCACAACATCCAGCCTAAATCATCCTGGCAAATAAGCAAATCAGTAAATTAAACTGCCATGGAAATCTGGGACTTTAATAACCACTATTACATGTTGGCAGCCTGCTGGATTGCACAATGGCTTTCTTTTTGCTGCATCGAATAAATTTAGTTCTTTCAATCTCTTCTCACGTTTCTTAATCTCTTCTCATTGTTCCCTTCTGGATACTTTCCAAACTCCTGCGTCTTCCTCTGTGCAGGGCACCCCAAGCTGGATTTGATGGCACTGATGATGGCTCCACAGTGCCACACATGAGTAAGTCACCTCCCGCACCTTACAGAGGACACTCCTTCAAATAGAACTCCAAACAAGACTTGTCTCTCTTGCAATAGCTCTTGCAGTTGGTTCATTTGTAATCCACTACAAATCCTCAGCCTTATTTTAACCTATCCCTCTCCAGTTTAAAACCTGACTTGGTAAAAAGTGCATTTTGCCTTCTCCTTTGCAAATGCAGCACTCACTGTGTGCTTTTATCTCTTATCTGGATGTGCTCTCCAATTTCTTAAGGTCAGGCTGAAGCCTGACCCTGTTCTCTCAAGTGCCTACGATCCCTCCTGACCTGATATCATCTGAGTGTTATAAACATACCTCCATCTTCCAAATCATGACTGAAATATTCCAAGTGTCTTCCCCAGAAAGTGGCCTTGCTGATATATCAATTGTTACTGCACTACTTGGATCAGTGGAGGGATGCAAGTGCAAGAGTTTTCTAAGCTTCATTCTCAGCAATTTCTGAAAACACAGACATTAATTAAATACTGGTTCCTCTGGTAAAGGTAGGATGCATTCAATTCAATGGGAACTAACTAACATACTTAATAAATGCAATAGCAAGGCTATTTCCCAGTGAACTCTGTCGTGAGGTCAGACAGCTACAACTTCTCAGTCACAGGCTCAGACAACCCAGCAGCACAACCTTATCCATCCTGCCACATGAAGACAAAGATTCAGCAAATAATGAATCACAACCAATTTCTGGGATCAACACAAGAGAAGCATATCAGGGTACAGTTGATTTTAAACTGCTGCTTTACTTTTATGATGCTGGAGCCACAGGCTCCATTTTAAATTATTTTAATATTGCAGCATGCAGAAGCCAAACCAAATTTCTCATCAGAGTTAAAAATTATTCCATTTTAAAGACACTGAAGTCTCATTTTAATAGATCACATCAAGTGATTGTACCAGCTCTACTCAAGATTCCCAAACTAAGCAGGAAGATAAGGAGCAGGAGGGTCTCCATCAGGATAAGCAACATGCAAGGAGCCTGGGAAATTCTGGTTACTGAGTTTTACAGCTGAACAGATACAAATTCTGAGAAAAGATTCTGGGAATTTAAGAAATAGATAATTTAAAAACTCATTTTAATTGGAAAAAACATGTTTCCATTATTTTCTCTTAAGTGCTTATAACCCTATAGACCATTATTTTCCTAAACATTTTTTAATAGCAGCTTTTCCATGACACGTGCAAGAGTCTTCTGAAACGACTATGGGAGAAAGTGTGAGATCTCACATCTGTAACACTGGCATCACAGATCCCGCTAATTCTAAAAATGCTTCACAGTTTTTCATTCTTCAGAACCCAGATTAGAAGAAAAGGGTTTTCCCCCTTCTCTCTCCAGATTACTCAAGCTCCTGTCCTTCAGCATGACTGAACTATACAAGAAATTGCACTGTTTAAATTCCAAGACTGTTTTTTTCTTAGTACCCTGCGCTTATGAAAAGCAGTGTGCAAATTTCTCACCCATAAAACAGGAGTTAGCAATAATTCCCACGATCCAAAACTGCTGACAGCACCAGTGAGGCTGCAAAATACCTGCAGCTCCTGACCAGGGGCAAGCAGCAACACCTCTATTCGCAGCAAGTTAAGAAAACCACCTTTACTAACCACAAAATGGTCTGTAATGAGAGGCCAATGAGCACCTGAAGGACTCCTGGCTACAGAAAGCAGCAGCTCTAAATAAAGCAGAGTCAGGACGTGGCAGGAGAGGCACAAAGCGCGATGGTGGCTTTGCACCGGCCGCCTCCGACCCAGCCCACATGTGTGAATTAAACTCTATTTATAAGCCTTACACTCCTTTTTGGTTGGGGTTTTTTTCTTTTTTTTTTTTAAATGACCTTAATATAGTGCAGTTGTTATTTTGTTTCTGTTGAACGTAGCAACAGGAACCCTGTCAGTCCTGCAGCAAACTTTCCATTCCCCTGGCACTCCCATTCCTGCCTCGGAAAAGCCAGATTTCTGAAGAGGTGTTTGACAGGGTGGGAGGGAGAGGAAGAAGAGGAGAAAGCACACACACAAAACCCAAAATCCCTGTAAAACATGAAGAATGGAAGCTAAATTCAACACTTTTTTTTTTCTTTTCTCCTTGCTCAAAACTAAAAGGCTGTGTCCTAAATTGCATTTTCTAAAGATTCCTTACTTCACTACCAGATTTGGAAGTATTGGTCAGAAAACTTATCTTTAATAAAGGGTCAGTAAAAAAAAATAATTCAGTAGCATCTTTATGCTCACATATTCCAGTAATGAAAGACTTCCCTATCAGCACAAATTTTGGCTTGGAAAGTTATTTTCTCTAGTCCCTCGCTAACTCACCAAGCAAACAGCTACAGAAATTAAGCCTTAACTTGTTAAAAACATAATAAACCTGATTTTATTACAAGCTTTGGCAAGACTGTTCTGCTGCTCAAAGAGCTTTACTGCATGATGAGCAAAGATTTTTGGAGCTCCACCCTGCACTGTAAACTCATCCCAACAGTATTTTCTCTTTTAACAGCTTCATAATGGTAGGGAAGACACAAACACAGCTGCTCAAAGGCAAGGTGCTCCAACATAAGGCTGCCATCAATTTGCCATTTACAAAACACTTTTTCAGGAACACGAAACCACACATAAAATACAGGAGCAAATACAAATCCATCTAGGAAAGGTAAGACCAAAAAAGTCTCAGCTATTGATAAAGCAGAATTTGTATTGGTGGTGCTTTAAATGAAGATTATGTTCATGTAAAGCTAAATATCAACCTTTTGTTTTTTTTAATCACAGATAATCCTTAAATATGGCAAAGCACAAGTAATAAAATACAATATCAATGGATTCCTGACATGGCCTTTTTATATTGTTTCACTGACATGAGGAATATGACATTTCACCCCACATTTGAGCCCTATATATCCTCCCATTATTCATTTTTCTTCCAGCTAAGGCACAAACACTCCCAGCCCATGATGCCTTTAGACTCTGGAGTCTGTGCACACACCAACATAAACCACAGCCACGGCTCCTTCTGCCAAAACCTCCCTGGAAACACAAAGCACCAGAAGGGATGGACAGACTGTCCAGGACCACCCTGGCACCAGCAGTACAGGGACCTTGAAGGTGCTGCTGGCCCCCCACAGCATCACCAACCTCAAAATGCATTCCAGGACATGGCTTTTGTCAAATCACACACAAATCTTGTGCAAGGTACAACCTTGCCCCTTGAGGAACCTCTTGGCTCAATCTGTGACTGGCTGAGAAAACACAAATATGCCTGAATTCATCAGCTGAAAAGGCAAGGGCTAAAAAAGCCCAGGCTGTCTTTAAAAGGCTAAAGCAATGTCACTGGACATTGTTCAGCTTTGCAGAGCGTACAGAAAGGAAACCAGCAGGTCACAGCAGCAGTGACATTTCTTTATAGAGCACAGCAATGGACAAGGTGACAACACCTGCACTCACCACTTCCTCTGTGCCGTGCTTCTGAAAATCCACCTCGTCCTCAGTTTTCATTTCCAACATCCCTGTGCAAACAGAAGATCCACAAAGGCAATTTAAAAACAAACTTCTTTTATTGCTACTAACATTTTTTTGTTTACTCAAACCAGTCCCCCCCTCAAAAAAAAAAAGAAAAGAAAACCCAACCCCAAGGCCTTCCAACAAGTCCATTTGAACCCCTACAAGACCATTTGATTTCCAAATTCTGGTTTCATTGCTGACTTCACTGCTTCCTTGCTATTCATTTTAACTATTATCCTATCTGGAACTGAAGGAAACGATGAAATAGCATCAAGCATAGGGTGAAATTCCTGACAACCTGTAGATGAGGTCAAGCACATCTGAAGGTACTTGTTCGTGTATTTTCTTGGCTCCCATTCATCTACATAAACAATCAAACCTTTTGCTTTTTTTCTCCTTACCATAACCCAAAGATAACACGAGACACCAACCTTGTCTGCCCTCAATATCTATTTTAAGCATTGCAAAAAAAAAAAAAAAAAAAAAAACTCAACCCCCCAGCACTGCCTTATGGATGAGAGAATTACCCTGCTGGACTAGGAAAGCAAAACCTTTGCTGTTGGAGTTTACAAAGTCCCAGCTGACTTTCCCCTTCTCCACGCTCCCGTGATGGTGTCACCACCACAGTTGTACAAATTTCAGGTCCCAGCTGCTTCCTCTGCCCAGCCAAGTTTTCATTAGTCACCATTTCCCAGGGGTTCCCCCTGCTTACCTTTCCCTGGCAGGAAGTCAACATCGTCATTCTCTTTGATCCCTAAGCTGAGGACTCTCATGACACACAGGACACTTTCAGGGCAGTGAAGTGATCTGACCAAAGGCACCCCGATGAAGAGTGGCTGTGTCAGGGCTAAACTCCCCTCTAATCCCACTCCCTCTCTCATTTCTACTAAAAACAAACCCTGGATGGATGACAATGCCTTCTTAAGGGCGACGTGTGCTTGCAGTGAGTTTAGCCCTACAGGGATTTAGCAAGAGGAGCCTCCCATTTTCATGGGGAAATCATCCTAACAATTGTAAGTAATGGTTTTCCACTGCCTTTAATGTCTACCCTTGCTTTTTGGGACCATCTGGTTTTGCAATGTTTTTGCCTCGATTGCATGAATTTGTGGGCAGACTCAAAAATCAGAGATAAGGCCACAAATTTCTGTGAGATCCAGTTGCTGGGAAATCTGCTCAGGGTCATGGCAATGCCACCATGGTTGAGATCCCGATCCAAAGACAGAACATGCAAGTACGAAACATTAGGTACACTGAGGATGGGAGAAGCAAGCTCACTCTGCTGAGTAAGAAATGGAGGATGAAGACATTTAGTCCTCAGGATGAAATTCAAGACAATTTTTTTCACTCTGTCACTTCTTCCTAAATTTCTGTTAAGAACTATCCCAAAGGAAAAGCACTATAAAGCTGCCTCAGAGGTCTCTGGGTGTAGTGCCTCTTATTACAAGTGTGGCACCATTAGTGACATTTGTTACCTGCTCATGCTGCCATTCTAATCATTCCAAGAGCTTTTCCATAGGAAAATGCCACCAATAAGAATGAGGTGAAGACTCATAAGATGATATTCTTCTGTGAAGGAATATTTTCTTGAAATGCTGAGATCTACAGGAGATATTTTTCCCAGGAGAACAGCTAAGTAGCAGTAATTGCAGTACTTGTTATTTAAGATGGCAGACCCCAACCACACAATCTAACCTTGCTTGGTTTGGTTTCTGCCAAGAAACTGCAACTACTCCAAGGTGTTTTGTCAGCACAAACCCATGGCATCCGTTCTCACCCAGCCCGGCTAGTGGTATGATTTCATAACCTAACTCCTTTCTTTTTTAATGAGCAGCATCTACCTGCCTGACTTGCAGATAATGCGCTTGCAGAACCCATTACTCAGCTGTAATGCAGTTCTGAGTCTAAAGCCAACAGTAGGAGGAGATGCCTCAGGAAAGCAGGATCTACCTTCATCAGCTTCCTCAGGGTTGTGACCAGTCACTAGATACTGTCTGGATAAGGAAATTGGCCTTTTGAAGTCTTTGTTTTGGGGGTAGGCGGAAACTAGGCAGAGGCAATGAGATAAACAGGTGTCTATCTGGGAGCAGCTTCACAATATAAATAAAAAAAATTAAAGACCTCAATGATCTGGAGTAATAGCAACAGCAATTATCAGCTGATTACATCGCTGATAAATCACCATGACAATAAACCCCTCTGACTACACGAGTTTCTGAGAAATGGCCTTGTAACCTACACTTCCTTTGGGAAGGTTTTATTGTATTCCACCAAAAAAAGATGTGACTCATCCTGAGAACTGACGAGTCCGAGTCCAGCACAGATACAAAATCCTCTATATAAATCCAGACATCAGGGAAAACACCCCAGAATGGGCACAGCAGAAAAAAAATTGAAGGCTGCCACTGAACTCATATAAAAAACGTGCTACCCAAGGCTAGACACCAACATGAAGAATGTACACAGCAATAATTATAAACAACAAATCACTTCTATTGAATTACTGCCACATCAGAGTTCTAGATGGTGCTCTACAGGAGATCAGTGTCATAAATATTCCAAATAGCAAGCTTGGATTCATAGCAGCCACCTGCCTCTGCTTAAAGCCAATTTTTTATTTGGGCTTTCCCAACATTTTGATTTAAAATAATCTTAAAGTACTTCAAGAGAAAATACTACAGTTTAATTTTTGTTATGTGTCATCTCAATGCACATAAACAATTTCTGCTTAAGGACAGGTCAGACCACTTTATTCCAAGACCTTTCAGCCCTAAATCCTTGTATATTTTAAATCAGTAACAGGATCACCTCCTTTTTTTCCTCCCCTTTCCATATCCTAATACAGAATGATGACTTAACAATACTTTCCTACTTTAGCTACTATCTTATTGGACTGTCTGGTCCCTTTTCCTGTTCAAACCTCACCTAGACAGTGTCATGGCTCCAAGAATCCAAGCAGAGCTAAAGACCTGCACTGTACAGACAGAGCTGGCAGAGCCAGAGGCCCCTAGGAAAAGAAATCTGACTTACAGCCACTCCCATCTACTGAACTGTCAAACCAACACAGCATTAAAACAGGTTCTTTCTGAAAACAGCTTTCTAATCCACTTTTAGATCTTACTTATTTACTAGTGATCTCTTGACTCATGTTTACTGGTTAGCTCTTGACATACAAACATGCAAAAAGTCCTGAACTTAACAAAAAATTTATTTGCTGGACCCTCCACTGACACCCTCCTCCCCTCCTGCCCTCAATTATTCTGCTGTCACATATCAGAATAAACTCTCTACCATCACCCCATGCTACACTTAGACTGAAGAAACAGCTCTCAGCATTAGAGCAGTGAAACAGCTTTATAACTTCACAACTTCACAATTTATATCATGGTAAATTTTCTTTAAATCATTTAAATGCTTTGATTGTTTGTTAGGTGCTGGGAAAGCGAGAGGCACTGTATCATTTTCTCAGAGCAAAGAAAAAATGGCAACTGAAAAAGTTCAGCTGCTTCCATTTAACAGCTGCCTGAACAGGTGGGGTACACAGATCAGATTAGCTCCATGCTTCAGCACCAAATTCACCTACCATTAAATCCCAGGCTGGAGCAACAAACCCATCTCTTTTTCATTCCATGTACCCCTTTATCTCCCTTCCTGGAGTTACCTGGAGATGTTTTCCATTAGCTCCTGCTGCATGGAGGCTTCTATGCTGTCCCCCAGGTCCCACTGCTCTCTCCCATCACTATTCATCCACGGGGAAGGCCAGTCCCACTTCCCAGCCCACAGCAGCCAGTAAAACTCATCACCCAAGTTCCAGCACTGCTGAAATGCTCTGGCAAACACCACCAGCTGCTCTGCCTGACAAAAAAGCTCTGAAGCCCGGAAAAGGCGGCGGGGGAAGGGCTCAGTGGCTGTTTTAAATGACCTAATGCTGCCAATTAGGAAGCAGCTTTGGGCAGTTCAGAGGGACACTGGCAGCTGGCTCACTTCGACAAGCAAAGAAAATCAGGAGAGTCCCATTGTACCCACTGGCTCCACACCAGCAAAAATAAAGGGGAAAAGCGAAGGGGTAACACCAAGGAAAGAAACCCTCATGACACATGAAAGCTTATAACTTTAAGATAAAGTAATCCAAATAGCTCAAGCCCATTCATTTCTTCTCCAGAGAGGATTTATGTGCTAGAAATTCTTCTATACAAATTCATAGGAGATGATGGTCTGTTCTTACCTCCAGTGCCAGACAAGCAGCATGTATCTGAATTGGAAGTTTTTATATGTAACTAACTACAAATTTCTTGTTTCCCAGAAGAAAAACCTCAAACACTTCCTCTCCAACACAAGCATCCAGCTCTTACTTCCTTTCTTTGCCGATGACGTGACAGAGACATGCCTACAAAGAAAAACCTAAAAAGTAAAAAACCAATTGATTTTTCCTACCTGTAACAGGCTCAGCTCCTTGCACTGCCAGGCTGACATTCTTCTTCTTTATTGAGGAACTGCAATCCATTTGTCCATTAAGGCTGGCTCTGGCATCCATTGCAGTCTGGGGCTCAAGCCCCGCTTTTTCTGCAGCAGGTACTTCGGGGGAACAAGTTGTGTCTGCTGCAAAAACCACTGCATCAAAACTTTTCACCATTTTAGGAACTTTATCCAGAGACGACGCACCGTTAGCCGATACCAAACTCTTCACTCCCACATTTTCCAGTGGCTCCACAGGCTGCAGGTGGCAGGAGCACGGCGAGAAGGGCGCTGCAGGTACAGCCTGGCTTTGCTTTCCATGGGGCTCAGCCAAGTCCTCCCCCTGAGCCGCTGCCAGGGCAGTGTCACTGTCCCCAGCCGGGCAGACCGTGTCGGTGCTGGAGTCACTGTCACACGTGGGCTCCTCTGCGATGGGCTGGAGCGCTGCGCGGGGCAGCACGCTCTCCGTGTCCTCCTGCTGCTCTGCAAACGCTGCAACAGGGGCTATTGTCACTGTCCTTGGCATCTCCTTACCCTCACAGGTGTCACTCAGGGCTCCCGCCTCTGAGGCGTCCTTTAACTCGGGGGTGCTGCTGTGGGGGCAGATTTGTTGTAGGGTTTGAGCAGGGTCTTGCTCTTGGTTGAGCCCAGCATTCGCACAAGGGTCACCCTCTGCCCCCAGTGACTCATCTGCTGATGCAGGTCCATGCATGGTGCCTTCTGCTGCAACTGCAGCCTTGCAATCTTCTTTGGGTTGTTGTGTTGCTTTCAGCCCAGCATCCACACTGCTGCTGCCCACCACAGGCCCCTCCAAACTGCAGGAGGAGGGTTTCTCAACAGCAGCAAGAAGTTCCTCTGACAAAACCTGCTCATGAGCCTCCTGCTCAGGCTCAGCTTTGCCTCCTTCAGCTTGCTGTGAGTGGCCCTGCCCCAGGGAGCCCTCGTCCCCAGCATGGTCCCCAGGCCAGGTGGCAGCTACCCCGCCATGCTCCCCACCGCGCTGCCAGGCGAGCTCTGCTGAGCCTGCCCTAGCCGCCACCGCTTCCTGGTTTTGTTTAGATTCCTCATTATGAGTTGCCGAGGGTGTGCCCATTAAATTATCCTCGGCACAGTCTGAGCCCTTGGCACATGGAGCCGATCCAGGGTCATTACCTTGCAGAGCTGCCTCCTGCCCGGGAGGTGCCACTGCAGCATCTCCCTCCTGACTCACAGATGGCCCCTCTCTGGGTAGGGGAGATTCCACCTTGCTCCTCCCCTCCTGCTCTGAAGTGTTTTCTGCTTTCTCTACTCCAGCCTGGGCAGGCTCTTTCTCTGCCAGGCCTGCGCTCACATCCTCTGGAGGGAGCGATGCAGGCTCACGTTCCTCACGTTCACCCTGCTGAGCGCTGTCTGGTTTGAAGCTGTCGCCCATTTCACCTTTAACGCCAGCTTGAGCAGCACAAGGGGCACAGGCAGCAACTTCCTGAGCACCGCCTGCAGAATCTCTGCTTCCTCCATCTCTGCAGCTGCTGGTATCAGTTCCTACTGCCTCCTTTTCATTGCTCTCCATGGCTGCAGCCCCATGGTCAGCGATCTCACCACTCTCCTGGCAATGTGTGGCTTCTGCACCACTTTCATTAGATCCACCAACATCTCCGTTTGCAGGTTCAGCATCAGGGCCATCAGTTTCCACACCGTCTTCCAGTGAGGGCAGGCTGGATTTTCCATCTGTGCAGCCTGCTTCCACCAGCCCTTCTTGCTCCCCACTCTCACTGCTGCCATGGACTTCCAAGCCAGATGTGCATGCAGGAACCTGCACCCCATTCACTGCTGGCAGTGCTTCTGCAGGGCTTGCAGTGACCTCCTGCCTCGCTGTGACACTGCCATCACCCTGGCCTTCCGTGAAGTCACCATTTACCTCAGCAGTGCACGAGTCCACATCAGTCTCTTTGTTACTGCTGGTCTTGCAAAGGTCAACAGAGCCACTGCCAATGTCACCACCTGCATTTGCACCGTCACAGGCTGGTACCACTCCCACATCTGCATCCTCCCCATTCGAACACTCAGCGCCGTTGAAACCACTGAGCAAGGGCTGAGCAGGGCTGGATGACTCTTCCTTAGCTGGGTATTTCTCTTCCAGCCTTGCAGTCCTCTCAGCAGGCTCTGCCAGCCCATCCTCTGCCCGCCGCTGGCCCTTAGCCCTCTCAGGTGCCCCGGCGCAGTTCCTGCACTCAGTCTGGCCCATGGCCACATCCAGGCCCTCCGAGGCAGCTGGGGCTTCACCTGCAGCTGCAGCCACAGCAGCAGCACTGACAGCAAGCTCCTCAGCAGTTTGCACTTCCTGATGGGCACTGTCTGTGCTGCTCACGCCAGCCTGATCCAGAGCAACTCCAGCCGATGTCATTCCAGCTTCCTCATTTGTATTTCCAGAGCATGGAAGATTTACAGCACCATTTACACTTGCACACGGGCTCTCAGTGCAGTCCTCATCTGATACGGTCCCAGAGCCCTCTGCAGATCTTAGCCCCGCCTCTTCTTCCTTTTTACACAATATCTCTGTGTTTTTGCTTTCACAGAAGCTGGCTGGGCTGTTTGCACCCCCCGGGCTAACCATGTCTTTTGGTGCATCATTAAAAGCCCCCAGATCGCTGTTGTTGCATTTCTCCTCCTGCTGGGTTTGGTCTGAGAGCTGCCTGATGTCCAGGTGAACCAGATCAGATGGGTTTTCCTGCCTTTCTTCTTTTGCCATTTCTTCTAGGCTCTGAGAGGTGGTGGTCACAGGACCCTCTGCTCCTTTAGTACATCTGTCTCCAGAATCTCCCAGTACAGGCTCTGTCTGCTGCCTTAAACTCTGTAACAACACACAAAAGAAGAAAAAAAACAGGTTTATTCCATCATGCAGTTACTCAAGACCTGTATCTACCTAATCCTATTCCACATGAATCCTATTCCTGGTGCTACAAATGTACTGCAGTGGATATTTTTAATGTTGGTTTTATTAACAAGAGATAATATTGAAATTATTAGAATGAAAGAAAAGGTGGTTGAAAAGAACATCTAAAGGTCATCTAGCCCAACCACCTGCCTGAAACTGGCCTCCTGCCACTGCAGCATCAGGTCAACCATGACTTTATCTTGCCAAACCTCCAATGATTGAGTACCCACAGCCTCTCTGGGCAATCTGCTTCCATGCCACACCACCCTCCCATGAAGAATTTTCCCTAAAGCCAGCCTGAACAACCCAAAGATGAAATTTGTCTCTCTACCCCTCTGCTACGCCATCTGCCATCACTGAAAAGAACTGTAATCTTGGAAATTGCTCTTTGAGAAGCTGTAGTCTCAGTTCTTGAGTGCACTTAAATTCAAGATCAGTAAAGAGCAGAATTCAGTCTACTAAATAATGCAAAAATATACCAGCCTAGTCCCAAAGGACTTAAAGCAAATGCTGCTTAAGAGAACCTTCAGATCCCCACCCAGCACTCCCCAGCTCTTACCAGCTTTCCTCAATTTTCTCTCTATGGATGGAAATGCCAGCATTGGCTGGCAATGTCCAAACACACCAACTGTCTCCTGCTCACAGGACTGAACTAATAATCTAATCTATTCCTGAGAACTGCAGGCATAATTAAATATCTGGAATTTATTTCCTAGCTGGAAATAAAAATTTCAAAATTATGACATATTATTAAAATTAATACATGCATTATCATGGAACAGCAGGATCATAATCAATTCCTCTCTAATATGCCTTTTCCTTCCAGAGCACTGCTTTGTCAAGCTTTTATAGTTTGATACAAACAAACCTTTACTTAAAAAGAACTGTCTGTTTCAATATTTCCTTTCATATTCTCATCTCTGTAGAAGAGAACATATCAATGTTCACATCTTAGAAATAGTGGCTTATTAAATTACTGAGCAACCCCAGTCCCCCAGGGTACACCCAAGAGCTCCCCACAGGTTTGCTTGGGGTTTTGCACCACCACAAGCTTTCCAAGGTCACACTGGTTTCTCACTGAGTGCCTGAGACTCTCCACATGTATAAAACTCTAATGAACTATGTTAAATCTGAGCTTTTCTTGCATTTATTTGTAAAAGGATTCAAAAAAATACACACATACTAGAATTCTAACTTGAACAGCTCCCTGCAAATTTTGTTTAAGTTTTTAGCTCTCAGAGAAATAGAAGTTCACACCCAAAACTGCCAGCTTAAACACCCTGATAATTAAAGCTAATTACTTATGTAATTAGCTTTACTAATGTTAACTGAAGCATCACAGGGAACTTCTGGGTATTGCATATACTAAGAGTGGCTAAAATCATCACTGCTTCCTTAAGGATATTGCATTTACTTGTCTTTCCACACTCTGAGGTTTGCAAACACTGAGCAGTGCCACAGACTCACTGAGTCACAGGCCACTAAATGTACTTCTGGTGTTGGCCACCAATCACCCTGCTATCCAAAAGAACCCTCTGCCCAGCTGCCATCCATGCTGTCAGCTATGCCTCCCTGGTTTTGAGGCATCCCAAGCCAGGTTAGCCCTGGAGGCAGCAGCATGGCATCTCCATCCCTTGTGTGGCCTCAGGGATGGGACACAGGGCTCTGCGTGCAGTGGTACCCACAGGTTGCAGGTATTTTTGCAAGGGCAAACAGTGTGCCAAGCCTTTGGTGGCTGTAACCCCACAGCAGAGCATGGAGACTGTGCTCCTGGATCCCAGCCAGGATGGACAGACACACAACAGTGACACTTGCTTGGGAACAAGCAGGGTTTTCAAAAGGAGGGGCCGCAGCAGCCCCAGCATCCTCACAGTGAAGTCACTCTGCTGATAGCCGGAAAAATACAGCCATCACCAAAGGAAGCCAACAGGCTCTCAACTGACCCAAAATAAACCTAAATGAAATAATTACAGGGCTGCTTTCCAAATTCAAATCAGATTAGATGTGAAGTAAAACAGTGGTGGAAAGCAAAGTCTATTTCTGGTTTCATTGTCAGGCAAAATGTTCCCAATCTGGCATTTGCATGAGCAAACAAGCAGTGAGCTGCATATGCTTGCCATGGCTTGGGGTCTTTTGATGGAAAGGGGAAGAGATTTCAGATTTAGCCTGGACTGTCACTCATGCCACTGGTTCCTGTTGAGATTGGGAGTAATCAACATCTCAGGTACTCAGAAAGGCTGAAAATGGCTCAGCATAGCCTGTTTCTCTGCTCATTCCCTCAACCCACTGGCTGCACACAACAGTTCTCTCCTCCCTTAGTTAAAGCAACAAAAATATCCTGTTGTTTAGACCCTGCACCTCTGTAACCCCAGCTATGTGATCTCTGAACACACCCACAAGTGATACCAACAGTGACAGACACGTGGGTGTTTCTGAGAAATGGCACAAAAGTCTTCTGATGTTTCACCTTCCCAACTCAGACCCTGTGGCATGGATTTTAAAGCAACAGGAGAAAGCCCTTCCAAAGCCCTACAGCTCCTGTGGTCCAACCACCACAGAGATTGAGAGGAGCACAGTGAAGGGACCAGTATGGACACAAACTTTGTGTGGCCAAGGCAGGCCTGCCCTCTGAGTCCTACACTGAATTGCTACTGAAACAGCCATTTTTTCCATCACTTTCCTCTCAGTCTCCTCTCTGACCCTGAACTTTCCATCTGAACAGAGATGTCCCCACTGTGCTTAAAGCCCACACCCCCAGCCTCACTCCAGAGCCTGCCTTAAGCTGCCCAGTGTCTGCCAGACAGGCAGAGGGTCAGCATTCTCCAGGAAAGTGTTCCTGCCCATCCAAGGGGGTCCAAAACTAACAGATCAGGCAGGAGCTGGGAGCAGAGAGAGGCAAAACAGAGCTGGTGTCGCACAGCCCTGAGCCTGCTTCTCCTCTGAATGAGAACATTTGCTGCCTAATACAGCTTAATCAGATCTCCCCATGCTCAAATAAGAAGCAAATGGACAGGTGTCCACCTGGATGCTTGATAACAAATCCAGACAAAACACCTAGGGAAACATGCCCTGAAGGATGCTGACATGTAAAAATCCTCCCCAGGTGCCAGGCTGCAACCAGCCCGATCTGCTTCTCCTCCATCCCCTTTTGCTCACCTGGTGCTGGTGGCTCTGCATGTGCATCTGCAGGTGCTGGATGTCCCTCTCCCAGCTGGCTGCTGTCCCCTCCGTGGCCTCAGCTGTCAGCAGGTACACGTCCAGCCCACGGTGGTGCTTCACGCTGTAGTCCCCCGAGTGCACAGTGTGAGACAGGGTGCTCCACGAGTCCGGCTCCCTGGCTCCCTCCCTGCAAAACAAGGCAAAACAAGGCCAGGTGAGCAGGGTTCCTGCAGGCTCTCCTTCACTCTGGACAGCATCTAATCTTGGGAGTGAGCAGAGTGGCACCGGCTCCAGACAGACAGAAACACACACACACACTCCTCAGTCTTGAAAATTAATGTGATTTAGCGCTAATGCCAGCCACAAGCTTTATTTCACAAAGTCCTCCTCAGGTAGAGATCTGTGGTTTTTACCCCAGACTGTGACAGACTAGCAGCTAAGGGCACGATAACTGTGTTTTAAATCAGATTTATCACAGGTGAAGATCACCAAAGCAGCTGTCACAGAACAGCAGAAACCTGCAAAGGGATATGTTGGAAACAACGAAAACTGTCATGGTATGACTTCTACACCAAAGCCAACACACAAACACCCAACAGCCATCATATTTCAGCAATTTTTTCACTCCTGAAATGAACTGAACCTGCCCTGTGAAACTGCCTCTGTGCAAGATGCTCTCAGTGTTGTGAGACAGCTGTTTTTCTGCAGCACTATCATAGACTTTCTTTTTACCAATCCAAAGGAAAGAAAGGAAAAAAGATGCTGTAGATCAGAATGAAAAATAGTAGGTAGAAATTTCTATTCAGTCCTCTCTTTTTGAACATCAAACCCTGATTTTGCACCACTCAAAGCAGTAATTCCTCAGATCTCACCAAACTGCAGAGCAGCTACACTGGCCCATCGAGGTGGTGAGAAAACACTGAGGTGTTCACTACCTTCAGGTTCACAGATTTCATTTTGAATCAGAACTGATTCAGGAAACCCAAAACCTGTTTTGATCCTCCCAGACAGAGCAGCTTGTGCACCACCCCACCAAGCCCTGCATCCCCCAGGAGGGACATGGAGCCACACCCCAGGAATGTTACACAAGCAGGAGATGACACTGACCCTCTCAGGGTGCAAGAAATGGGAATTTCTCCATCTTCCTTCTACCAGGAATGCATCTACTGTCACACAGTCCCATGTATGAGCTGGTTTGGGGATAGAACTACTAAAGATGACTTTTAAAGATCCCTTCCAAACCAAACTACTCAGTGATTCTATTATGTCCCCTCCCTATTGCAGAGACTAACCATTTTCAGATCTCCCATTCCTGTCCAGCTACAAATTTCCTTGGAAGAGGCAGAGCTGTGATTTTTTTTAAATAATTAGGAATTCAAGAGGGTACATAAACAAAAATGCATGCCATCAACAAGGTAAAACTGCATGTAGTTTTCAGAATCCTTGCCGAGAGGTCTTGCTTTAAAATCTGCAAACATTTCTTAAGGGCAAGGGCCCCGTAGCAAACCACAGGGCTATTTTTCTGGGAAGCCAAGCAATCTAGAAAGTAAAGTCATAAGGAGCAAACACCATGATCAGAAACAGGAATGGGCAGAGCAGGGTGGGGAAACAGTCAACTGGTTCATCAAAGGCAGAGAAACCTGTGCAGGCAATGGTGGTGGCAATGGCTGCTCCTGCTCTGCCCCAGCACAGCCACCCATCACCTTCTGTGACTCATTTTGGGTTAAATCTCCAAGGAAATTCAGACAAAGGATTACTATGGCTTTCACCATTCTCCACCATTCATCTCAGTAATGACTTGACTTCAGCAGAATTACACTTGACTTAAGGAGAATCAATATTTCCACAGAGAAACAGAAGGAAGCAGTCAGTTTCTGGTGGTGATTGGTCTAAGCCCACAGAGGCACTGAAGTCAACTGAGCCATTACACGTAATAAAGAAATGACCTTGCTTTATCAAGAAAACACAGACATTTCTGTCTGGAGTGTTTTTCTCTTCAGCTGTCATGTATGAGAAAGCACTGTACAAAGTACAACGAGGCAGTGAGCACAAAGCCCACAGCCACCCACTCACGGGGACAGCAGCCAGATTAAAGAACAGCGCACGATGGATCTGCTCCGCTTTCTCATCAGCTTCAAGGACCCTCACAGGCATCTCCAAATCAGCACCCACAAAGCTGCCTGCATGACCTGTTGAGCCTCAGAGGGCTCTCAGCAACTTCAAAAGGCTCAATCTGGAGCAAGATGACAGGCAGAGTCCCCTGCAACACCGCACGTGTGTCCGCCCCTCCAGCAATCCGCAACCTTCACACGGCCCAGATGGATCAAACAGTCACTTTTGCTTACAAAGAGAGCAGTTTCTTTTCATATTCAAGCTGCCAGTCTGTGTTACACTTCATGAAAAGCTTTAAACCTTTTGAGGAAGCAAGAAGTTTCTCACATTCAGCCAAGTACAAACTCCAAGCTCTCACTTTTAATAGCAGTCACCTTCGTTACACAAAATTAAACAGTGAGATAGAGAATGGTTCAATCTGTGGTTTTCAAACCAGCCCTTTCATACTCTGCTCCATCCCAGCACTAATGCTCTGAAGCAGAGAGGACAAATGAGGATTCACAAGCATTAACTCATTTTTCCACCACTGTTCCTGTTGTTCAGGCAATCACTTCCAAGGCCATTTGAGAAGACACTCCTGCTCCTTTGCCCTCACACACTGAGCTTCACTGTTCACGCCTTTCCTGCATGTCTCACTGAAAGTCCGGGGTTTTACTGACAGATGATAAAAACACACTTTCTTCCAGGAAAAAAGCTTTGGTGTTACGCATTTTCTATTTCCTGGCTGTGAAAGATGCTTATTTTGTCCAGACTTGGAATTTTTGTAGTGGTTGCATATCCAAGCTGCTCTACTAGGAGATAAAAACAGATATGCAAACACTTACTGAAGATTTATTAGCAAAAATAGGTATACAAACTCCAGCCTTCAAGAAGTTTGAAAATCTGCTTTTGTTCAGCACAAAAATCCACTTTGTTGCACTTTGCCAGAAACAACGGAAATCTGTCTTCTTATGAGATTTAACCATCCTGGGTCAAATCTTTCTCATCTTCCCTTTTCAACAGTTTCCCATCAAAATACGTAACAGATACCAGTGAACTGAACATTTTGTAAGAAACATTTATGAGCTCAAGTTTCACAGAAGAAAGTATCTTGGTTAAAAAAGCAAGGACTGCCTGAGAAGGCTGATAATGTTCACTAGCTCTCCCCTCTGCATAACCATGTCATGGGCCCTGAAAGAGCCTGGAAGAAGTCCTCCAGCTCTGGTTAGTCTTCTGTGCCATGAAGGGAAACCCAGAAGGGAAATTTGTGGTTGAAATGAAGAACAGACCTACCAGCCCACCCTTCATCTGCAGAAAGGCGGCTTAGAGAAGGATGACAACTTCAGAGAGAGAGGAGAAGCAAAAATACTTCAAAATACTCTCCTACTCCATCTGGGATCTGATTAGATGGCTGAAACTACAGGATCACCTCCTGCCCATCTGGCATGTAAGACAAGATGATAAATCACAGAATCACAGAATGGTTTGGGAGGGAAGGGACCTTAAAGATCATCCCAACATGGGCAGGGACACCTTCCGCCAGGCCAGGTTGGTCCAAGCCCCATCCCAGCTGGGATGGACAGTAAGTAGGAAGTGTTTTTTATTTAAACCTCCCAGCACTGCCCAAGTAGACTGGTCCCTTTTCAAAGCAGAGCTACACTGAACTCGTGTGCTGAATCTCCTCATCTGGCAGGAGAGCAGCGGAAAAAGGAAGGAAAGCTCTCACCGCACGGCTCCTGGCTTCCGGCAGATACGGGCGAGAGATTTTTAACAAGAGGGAAGATAAGTGAGAAAAGGAGAACAAAAAAACCCCAAAAAAACAACAAACCACCACCTGATCAAAAGCTCTGCCTGGCCTCAAAAGCTGCAGAAACTGCTCAATAACAAGGGAGTGAAATTCAAGGTGCTGGTGCTTGCAGCAGCCACTACCAAGAGACAAGGTTTGAGCTGCAAGGAAGAGGAAGAGGAGGGAGGAAGAGATCAGAAGATGAATGAAAAAACCTTAAGTGAGTTAAGCAAAACTTTATGTCAGGGAGATCTATCCCACAGTTTTACAAAGGGGTGAGGAAGGCAGTGTGGGAACTCAAGGTGTTATTTCCTGGGAATATCCTGTCCAGATTTCTGACCTGAAACAAAACAAGCTCAGTAACATTGCTAGCTTTTAGGATCTTACTGCAAGCCTGGCAACAGCTGTGGGTTTATTCTGAAAGCATCAGCCTCTAGATCCACATGGCAAAGAAAAAATGAAAAAAAAGGAAATTAAAAAAAAAAAAATTTAAACTAAGCCCATACCATTATGGCTGCATGAAAAGCTAGGAAAAGGCCATAATTTAGATGCTCTTATCTGTAAGGTAAATAAAAATGTAATTAAATTGAATTCTAATCTTACATTCTTTTTATTACTATTATTATGGTATCACAGTGAAAATACCAGATCAGACAGACTGTGATCTGGGATAAACAAGGAAAGGTGCCTACAGGGATAAGATTTGTGGTGATTTTGCAACATGCCCATGGCACAGGCAATTCAAATCAAGCCAACAATCCTGGAAAAACCCAGCACCCACAGTCAATGCAGTCACCAGCACTTAAACCAATCTTAGAAATCTGCATTGTATATGAGACCCAGAAAACACATGCACCAGCATATGCTAGAATGGGCTAAATAAATGAAACATTTTCAAATTTGGAAGATATTTAATAAACACAGAATTCATACTTCAGGTGTTTCCAAGTGTTCCAAATGCCCCAGGAAAGCAGAAGAAAGTATGTTTCTCATATAAGAAAAACCTACATAATGCTCAGTAATTTGAACAGTTTTGATGCTGAAAGAAAGAGTTAAAAATTCATCTGATCTAGAAATGATGACTAACCCCTTACTGTGCCTCACACAAACACGAACTGCAGTTGTGGGTTCTGACACCAAACTGAATTCAGGATTGCATAACCTATCCTTCAATATCAGATTAAATATTTAATAACTCAATTCAAAACACATAATGCTAACTTCTCATTGATCAACACACTATACAGCAGCAAATCATAGAGAGAAAAGCTGGCTTGGTCCTTCAGCAGTTGTTTGCAGATGCACATATG